CGCTCCCGTGTGTGGCATGGCTGCACTTTGCCTACCGCGCCGGACACCCTGTGCCCAGGCTTTCGACGGCAGGAGGGGGGGGGGGGGGAGGTCGACAGAGTCAGGGAGGGAGACAGGTTGTGTACAAGCGACACGAGCGCGCTGGTTTCGAGTGCACTGTCTCGCTGTCGCACTCGGTCGATGCACGTGTGCCGAGGCGAACGCCCGGTGCCGTTGCATATGCTATGGTAAGCGGTGCGAATCACACATCGTGTCGGCGTCCGTCGCGAAAGAAGATGCGCGCCAAAAAAAATAAAATCCAAAGTAGTTTTCGACGAGCGTGGGACAAGATTCTGATTGTGATTATGATTGAATTATGCAATAAGTGGTGATGCGATGACAGAACAACTAGTCTTTGTTCGCCACCGATGCGTGGCGGGGCGGGGTGGCGCTGGGTGGCCCCGAACTTGAGCGCGAACGCTTGCACTTCGGTTCACAGGTTTCCGACTAATTCTCGGTACTGGTCGGGCACGCGCGCCCGGGCCAGAGCAGCTGTAGTAAACACTCCACCTGGGGGGCCGTCCCCGAGCCCTGAGGAAGTAGCGACGCGGACGCGGTGCCCCACCCTTCGGAGGAGAGGGAGAGAGAGAGATTCCGGCAACAAAAAAACGGGTTCCAAAGCGTCGCCGTGAGCGAGCTTGTGACCTTGACCTTCGCCACCCCGGAGGAGGAGGGGCAGGACAGTGAGTGGGATTAGTGTTTAGGGAGGAGTTGTCCTGCCAATTCGACAGCGAGAGCGAGGCGTACGCACCTCTCTTTCTCTCTTGAAAAAAAAAAAATAATCAGACAAATTAACGACAACCACACCGGCACATTGTTAAAAATTAGTAAGTGCCAATCAGATATTTTATAGTGCCATCGTTTTGGGTATGGACGTGCGTGCAAAGGCACACAGCCCACAGCCGGCAGTTTGTGGCCGACCGACCAGAGTCTTCCCAGTATACTATACTTAGTTAGCTTCCCGTGGCTCACCGGCACACCCATGTCCGGAAATTAGTCTGCACACTATAAAAATCTTGTGAACTTTTCTATTTATATAGCTCATGGATTTCTTTGTGCATTCTCCGCCTTATGCAATTTTAAGTACACTCTAAAAAAATTACAAAAATTCTAGGATCAATTTTGAAACAAAATTATGATATGCCAGTATGAACAAATTTCTTCACAATGCACAGAGAAATCCATAAGCAATGAATGAGGATGTTCATGAGGTTTTAGTGGGGTTCTCACATTGTTACCTTCTCGCATTTTTTCATGACATTTCAGGCCAAATTTTGAGAATTTCTCTAATTAAATATTCGGACCTCACACGTCAGAAAAGAATGCCCAAAATGTGCGCGCTATTCCAATCGGTCACGTACATGATATTATCCGAGCAATTTCCCTGACTTTGTGGGGTTTTCAGACTTGTGGGAACCCTGTTAGTGTGTGGCAGCGCTCGCTGCCACTGCTTGTTACCATACGCGGCGGAGATGGTCTTGTTGGACGTCACACTATCGCCGAATCGGTGCACTGGCCCACTGGCCCCTCCCCTTGGATACACGTCGAGCTCCGCGTTGAGCCGTTCTTAAGGTCAAATTTTGCTTTAATTATTACCCCCCTTTCCTGGTGGGACTTTACGTGTTTAATCGCGCGCATGACGCTAATGCCACAGTGAGGCAGCCGATTCGCCCGCCGCCGAATATTTGGACCGTACACACCAAAATCTTGTGGACTTCCACAAAGGATCCGGAGCAGCCATATTACAAACGATTTTTCTTCAGTTAGTAATGGGGAACACCTGGATCGTAATAAAAATAATTTGTTTGTATTACAAATTCCTCGTGCAAATCCTTTGTACGTAACGAAGAGCAGCTGTTCATAAGAAACTAACGGTGTCTGTGTTTTTTGTTGTTGTTTTTGTTGTTGGTTTTTTTTTTTTTTTTTTTTTTTTGCTTTTTAGACATTACAGTGTTCTTCACTCTTGTTGGGGACGCGAAAAATTGCCCGGGAATCCCCCGCAATGCACGATAGAGCGGCCGCCGGGCCCGGTGGTTCCCTCCAGTGCATCGACCTTCCCCGCCCGCGCACCCCTCCGGCCCAGCCCCACACCCGGGCCCCCGGGCCCCGGGCCCCGGGCCCCACCCTCCAGGCAGTTGCCATTTCCCCTGTCATTTCGATGACCCGGCAGCCGTGCCGGCCCGCGCTGCAGCCGGCGGTCCCCACACCGGGTCAGTGATGCCCCCCCGGGGGGCCGCGGGGTCCCCGTCGGGGTCACGCGTCAGGAGGCGCGCCCCCGCCGCTGCAGCACAGAGAGAGCATGTGTTATCTTTGCTGCAGCAAGCCGGCGGGTGGTACTTCTTCACTCCAAAAATCAGTGTTCAACCCAAAGAATCAGAAAAAATTATGAAAAATCAGGGAAAACCTCAGTAAAATTCAGAAAAATTAGGAAAAAATCAGGAAAATCAGAAAAAGCTACAAAAAAATTGGTGTACGTTCGTAAGGTCCCCACCACCACCTCACCTCCCCACCCGGTACCGTGACGTCACCCCACCCCTCACCCCCACCCTCTCTGACGGGGCAATCTTCTCCCGCACCGATTTGCTGTCATCCCCGTCTCTGTGATATGAATGCCCTTAGACCCCCCCCCCTCTCCCTCCGGGCAGATAGGTTAAGGTTAGGCGGTCTTCGCCGCTGGAATCCAATACTGATGACGTCTCAGCCTTTTTTCCTGAGTAAGTCCAAGCGCAGCCCCGCCACTCTCATAAAAGTATCTATGACACGCAAAAAAATAAATTGAATTAAATCGAAACTATTTTTTTGGTCTGATGTTGTTCCGGGCTATCTTGGCCCATGAGTCGTGCCAAATAAACAGTAATAACGTCATAAACAACCACTAACCAACAGCTCCGCCCTCCCTCCTCAAAAAGAGATGGCATTCCTTTTTGACTGCTCAGTCTGGGGATTATTTTTAAACACTAAAACAATTTTTGATTTCTGTAGAGGGACTAATGTTTGGCCTGCTTTTGGATTTTTTACGCTGCCGTCAAAGGAAATGTCAAAATTTGGGCAAGCGATGCGGCCACGGCGTTTCCCAGGCTAAAATAACCATGGATAACCATGTTTATCTTATCTTGTTCATCTTGTTCACTAAGAGCACTAGGAGCCATACTATCTTGGTTAACTTGACGATGGATTATGGTTTCCGTTCTCTCAATAACCATATTGTTTTCCCAACCTTTAACCATATTGTTTCATGGTTACCATGGATTACCATGACCATAATACTATGGTTAATCAACATTAAACCATTAGAGACCATTCACCACCACGAATTACCATAATTGATATTTTACCATGGCCTTTCCCATGGTTATTTTAGCCTGGGCTAGAGTGCGCGGCGTCGTTCGTCTTAGCGGCAACGTAGAGTGGTCTGCGTAGGTCCGACACACATCAGCAAAACAAACAGTTTTCCATTCGTGGGGCAAACAGAGGCGGACGTCCTTGGATCGCTATGGACGCGCTTTCGGTCGAAACCTTGTCATTTTGATTTTGATTAGTATGGCATGCTTACTCTGACGGTGGCCGGAGCCGCACGTCTCCTTATCTGGGCGGACCCCGTCGTCCAGGCGCAGACCCTGTAGTTCTGCAGTTATACTGTACCGCACACGGGCAGGAGGCGGTCGTGTTTGCCTATCGCCCCCCCCAGGTAGAACACGTTTGTCAAAATGATGTCAAAATGACCTCATTTTGACCCTCATCGTCAAAATTTACTGCGCCTAGGTAGCCAGAATGAGCTCATTTTGACGTCAAATGAGGGTCAATGACGAGTTTTTGACGATTGTTTTCTACCTGGGCCTGACCACGGCGCCCCAACTGGCCGAGGGAGCGGGCCACCCACCAGCACGTTAGAACGCGGCAGCACGGCGTAAATACAGACGGGTGCGGGGTTAATCAGCCACCTAGAAATGCATGGGAAATTTTCCTATACTTTATTCGGCAACACTGTCTAGGTGAGGCTAGGCGCACTTAGTTATACGGTTCGTCAAAGCATCGTGCCTAGGGTCTCGAGGCAGGCACATACCAATTAATTACACAGTGCAAAATCCTGTACCAAAGTACCAAAGTACCAAAGTATAGAAAAAGTACAGCGTCCTGTACAGGATGTGGTGTAGGATGCACTTACGTATATACTGTAGAACCCAAGGCTCCATGTTAAAAATTCTTGTACTCCGTACTGAAAACACCGTACTTAGCAAGTACAGGATAACCGTGAAATGGGTTGATCAATACCTCCTGGTCAACTCACTGTGCTTTTTTCAGACAGTGTATGTTTACATTCACCATGACCAGTGATGAGCAAAGGTTCGAGCGCAGTAAAGTACAAAGTTCTAGGAACTTCACCCGCACCCGCAGCCCACTGGCTGGTGGGCTTGACCGCGCTGTTACACGGGTGGCGTAGGCCCTCGACCCCCCGAGGGCTAATGCGCTGATGTGCACTTTGAACGGAGGGCCCACGCGTGGCGCGCTCCCGACGCGGCAGTCGGTGTGCGTCGTCCAGAGAGCACGGGAGTCGTAACAAGGAGCACCGGGGAGACATCTGCATTGTACACGGGTAACCTGACGCCTGAGGGAGGCTCGCATTCCTTGAACACCCTTTGGACCATGAGGTCCCCCAGACTGCAAACCCTAACGGCTACACGGTCCGTCCCCTAAACGGCTTGGATCGGTCTCGTTGTAGTTGTACGCACAGAGCGCACTTTGTCCTACCCGGCGCTCCATCCCTAGAAATCAAAAGAACTCGCGCCCTGCAGCTCCTCTCCGGGAGGGAAAAGAAGAGGGGGGGGGGGGGGTCACGGACCGCCTCGAAAGGGCTCTGGGAACTCTAGGAACGCTCCATCCCTAGAAATCAAAAGAACTCGCGCCCTGCAGCTCCTCTCCGGGAGGGAAAAGAAGAGGGAGGGGGGGGGGGTCACGGACCGCCTCGAAAGGGCTCTGGGAACTCTAGGAACGCCGCCCTCCCGAGGCCCTCAAGCACTCGCCCCGACTGCAGCCGCCGCGGGTGCCGCGGGCCGGGGGGCCCGGCTCGAGGGCCACCTTCTATCCCCGCGGTTACAGTAACCGTCGCGGTCACAGAGATAACTGACGCAACAAGACGGCGGCGCAAAAACAAAACGACCAAGACGCTCGCATGCCGCCGGTCAGCGGGCGCGGGACCCGGCGGGGACCCGGCGGGGACACGCCGGGCACCGCGACTCGCCGCGCGACAACGGAATCTTCCGGTTCAACACTTAAACTGTTCCACTAACGGTAACGTCCGTTCAGGCCGGGGCAGGGCAGCGGGTAGTTCCCCGGGTGGTTCAGAAAAACCCGAAATCTCAATAAACCGTTAGCCGTTTGGGCTCCTGATTCTCATTAAGCTATCCGATCACGCAGATGACTTTTTTCTTTTTCTGAGACAGTGGAGGTAAATAACGTTTGTCACATTTCGAGAAAAAAGTAAAAAGTAGTTTTCTTTTTCCTGCCCCACTCTAGGGCATAGGGGCAGGGGTGGGTGCCGACGGACGCCTCTGCTGACCTATCAGTCAGGGGGCCGCCGGGGGGCTCGGACGGGGCTGCGGGGCATTAAGTATTTAAGGCTGACCCCGCGGACGGCGGCGCGGCGTTCCTGGGGTTGTTGTCGCCGCGAGGCGTCGTGGCACGGCGCGGGCGCGGCACGCGGCTCGGGCAGGTGGCCGACGGGCGCCGACCGGGAGGAACTGGAGGTCCGGGGCCTCCACGCCGCGTCCACGCCACGTGTTCCTCGCCCCCCCC